GAGGCCAAACAATTCATTGGCCATGAGCTCAGAGCTCTCAGTGTTCACAGTAATGCGTATACAATGGGGCTTGCTCCTTGTCCTAGAGGGTGGGCCCTAGACCACAGTGCCCCCACAACTTAAGCTCCCTACTGCCTAAACTTCTCAGTAGGTATATGTCTGATGTTCCCATCTCCAGGACTGTTTCTCTTGGCCATCTCCCACCCAGACACTGTATGTGTCAGGGTGTTTTCCCAGGCTCTTTGACTTGTGATTGTTTCTTGTTTTGAGGTCCCCAAAGTAGCTCAGCCTCAAACAGTAGGGCCCTCTGAGGATGGCATTATAGCACTCTGAGATACGGGGAATGAGGGAGTAGATCTGGTAAGTCACTTTCAGAGCAAGGTTGAAGGCTTATGGAGCTGCAGGACTCCTACAGCGGGGACTTCCCGTCCATTACCCCAGGGCTGCCTGCACTCTCCATGCTTGCCTTGCGGTCATGGTTTGGGACTCACCTCTCTTCAGGGAACTGGGGTGGCAGTTGCACACTGTTTGTCACCTTTTCTGCATCACTTTTCCTTTTCTCCATGCTACGTTAGCTGTCCTGTCACCTCTTTCTTTCCTTGGAATAGTCTCTCTTTCGATCCATGGAATCACACAGAGGGAATTTCTGATCTGTCACCTTACACTAGAACCTAGCATCTTGAGAAAGATTTCTAAGTAAGACCAAACTGTTCCTCAGACTTGTCCCTGCAGTCTAGTTTTATGATAAAAGTAACTTACTTTAGCTGGGCACCAGTGGCTCACACCTGTAATCCTCGCTACTTAAGAAGCAGAGATCAGGAGGATAGCGGTTCGAAGACAGTCCCAGCAAATAGTTTGTGAGACCCTAAAAAAAGGGCTGATGGAGTGGCTGAAGTTGTTAGAGTACCTGCTTAGAAAGCATGAGGCCCTGAGTTCAAATCTCAGTGCTGCCCAAAAAATGAGGGCCAGGGTCAGTGGTTCATTCTTGTAATCCCAGCTAATTGGGAGGTAATAGGTAGGAGGATTGCAGTCCAAAGCTGGCCCCAAGCAGAAACACAGACCCTATTTGAAAAAATAACTAAAGAGATATGGCTCTAGTGGTAGAGTGCCTGTATATATATATATATATATATATATATATATACACACACACACACACACTATACACTACACACACACAATTCAGCTATAAAGAACAAGCCAGGCATGGTGGCTTAAGCCTATAATTCTAGCTACTTGGAAGCGGAGAGCAGGAAGATTGTGTTCAAAACCAGAGCAGGAGGTAGGGTGGGGGTAGGGTTTGTGACAAACCCCGCCCCCCCCCCAATTTCAACCAGTGGCTAGGTGTGATGGCATGTGCCTGTCATCTCTTAGCTATGCAGGGAAGCACAAACAGAATGGTGGTCTAGGCCAGCCCAGGCATAAAGTGACACCCTATCTCAAAAAAACGCAAAAAGGGCTGGAGGTATGGCTCAAGCAATAAAGAGTGCCTACCTAACAAATGCGAGAGCCTAAATTCAATCCCCTGTATCGCCAAAAAAAAATTGTGTCATTTTCAGGGAAATGTATGGAACTGATGATCATCATCTTAAGCAAAATAAGCCAGACTGAGAAAGACACATATCACATGTTCTCTCTCTCATGCAGAATATAAACCTTAAAAAATGAATGAGACCTGGTATGTGCCTCACATATATAACCCCAGCTACTCAGGAAATAGAGATTGGAAGGATTGCCTGAGCACAAAGGGAGACCCCATTTCAACCAATAGCTGGACTTGGTGGTTTATACCTGTCATCCCAGCTACATAAGAAGCATAAATACAGGCAACACAGCACACATGAGCCCCAATCTCAAAAATAATTAAGACTGGCAGTGGCTCAAGTGGTAGAGCTCCTGCCTAGCAGGTGTGAGACCCTGAGTTCAAACTCCAATACTGGCAAAGAAAAAGAATGATGAATGTAAAATGGGGGGACTGCTTGGGGATGTAAAAAAGGTGGGGGGAGGGTGAAGGGAGGTGAATATGGTCAGAGTACTCCATACACATGTATGAAAATAAAATAATGAAGCCTGATAAATATTTTAAAAGAGGGGAGAAGAAAAAATAAAGGGGGTGAATTTGATCAAAATATATGCATGTATGGAAATATTACAACAAACTCCTTTTACACTTAATGTACTAATAAAAAAGAATTCAAGTGTGTCATGTGAGATGTAAATTTTATAACAGTACTATGTATCCTGATTTAGTTCTTATAGGATGTTATGCCTGTTTCATGTTGTGATTTGTAAAAACTTCCTTCTCCGCCTTCTCCTTCCTGTACTTAAAAAAAAAAAAAAAAGCGTGTATTAGGAAACTTTGATTTAGTCTGGCAGTGGGAGGGGTCAAGGAAGGCTTCTCTGAAAAAATGATGACTAAAGTGCTGTCCAAAGAGGAAACTTTGCATAGTGAAAACTGATATTGTGAACAGAGATAAAAGCATGATAGATCTGGGGAAATACGTTCAGGAGGAAGTGTGGCTTAGGCCCTGCCTGGGAAGGAGATAGAAAATACTGGTAGAGGCTATAATGGAAACAGAGATAAAGCAGACAGAGACACTGAAAGAGAGTTTCCAAAAGGAGTAAAGAGAATTGCAAAAATATCATTAGATTTAGTAGCGCAGTAGGTTATGGGTGACATTAGGAAGAGCAATTTTGATGGAGCAGTGAGGGACTGAAGCTAGATTAGAGTGAGTTCAGAGATGAGGAATCTGAAAAAGTTTGCTTGAAGCAAGAGGAAACAGTAGTTAGTGAGAGATAATTAAGGAAAAGAATTTTCTCTGTTAATGTGAGACTTAAGTCCAGTTAAATTGAGAGAGGGAAGGTTGACCATACAAAACAGATAAGGACTAATCAGTGATAAATTGTTCCTGAGATGGTAGGAAGTAATGGTGTCTAAGCTACTAGGGGGTTAGCCTTAGACCATGAAGAGAAATCTCTGTAAGAATAGGTTGATGCAGATGTAGGTAAGTTTTTATGGTTCCTGTTTTCTTTTCTCTGTGAGGTAGGAGGTATGTTATCTGCTGAGTGAACAGGAGGCTGAGATGGACTGGGTTCCAGAGTATAGAAGGAAGTAAGATTGAGGGCTCAGTTGAATTGAAATTGGTGTTCATGGATTTTTTAGTAGCATATATCTCTTCTATTTTATGAGTAGGGTTTGAAGGGAAAAAATGTGGTTTTGAATTTAGGGTTTAACAAGAACATTGTTAGGACAATGAACCACAGAATCAAAGCCTAATGAGAGGAAAAGTGAAGAAAGAAAAGGGCTGACAGGCTAGGCAGAGGTAATATGTGTTACAGTTGAATTTGAGAGATTCCATTTTATATTTGTTTAGTTATTTAGGTTATAGGGGTTGAACCCAGGGCCTTTTACTTAGGGGTGCCTTATTCATGCAGCCATCACCATTACCTAAATTCCAGAATATTTTGTCACCCCCCAAAAAATCATGTACCTATTGGGAGTCACTCCCCATTTCCTCTTGCTTCAGTTACTAATGTACTTTCTATTAATGTGCCATCACTAATAAGTGGAGTGTTATAACATGGCCTTTTGTGTTAGCTTCTTTACTTACTTTGTTCTTAAGGTTGTCCATCTGTGTTGTACATATATGAGTACTTCATTCCTTTTTGATGGCACAATATTCCATTTTGTGGATATACTGTATTTAATGGGTCTGTTCATCTATTGATGGTCTGTGGGTTATTAGTAATGCCACTATGAACATTTCTGTACAAGTTTTGTGTGCACATATGATCTAATTTTTCTTGTGTGTATACCTAGAACTGGAATTCTGAGTCATACAGTAACTCTATTTAACATTTTGAGGAGCTACTAAGCCATTTTCTACAATGACTGTACAATTTTACATTCCCACCAGTGATGTATGACGATTCCAGTTTCCCATATCCTCATCAACATTTTCTTGCTGGCTGTGTTGGGGTACTTTTATAAAACTTTAAGCAAGTACTACATGAGGGCTGGCTCAAGTGGTAGAGCGCCTGTCTAATAAGTGTGAGGTCCTCAGTTCAAACCCCAGTACCACCAAAAAAAAAAGAAAAAAAAGAGGCAAGTAATACATGAATTTGTTTCCTATAAAATGTTTGCACATTATACGTATCAGGCTACAGACCCTTTGGTCTCCACCCTGTTAGTTCCTGTATTTATATGGAAGAAACAATTATTTTCAGTTCGGTATTTTTCTAGAATGTTTAGAAATTCTCAATGTAAGACTGGCAGAGGGGTGCACACCTGCAATCCCAGCTACTTAGGAGCCCAGGGGATTGATTGAGACCAGGGAACATCGTGAGACCTCTTTGAGAAGAGAGGGAAGGGAGGGGGAGAGAAAGAAATTCTCAATGAAGGTAGCCTTAATTTCCTTTATAGGAATCCAGTTATTTTGATAGAAACATTGTAATACATGAAATTAGCTTTTTTCCCTTTCCAAAAAAAAAAAGTCATATTTTAAAAATAGGACATCTTTTAAAAATAATTAAAATCTCAAACAAGCATATTAAGCTTATTGTCTTAGCTAAGCATGGTGGTGTACACCTATAAGTCCAGCACTTGGGAGGCTGAGACAGGAGGATCCCAAGTTGGAGGCCAACATGGGCTACATAGTGTGACCCTGTCTTACAACAAACCAATTACTGGGGAAGGTAGCTCAGTGGTAAAATGCTTGCCTAGCATGTATAAGACCCTGGATTCCATCCTCAGCACTGAAAAAAAAAGTTTGTCATTTATATATATATATATATATAAATATATATAAATATATTTATATATATATATATTTTTTTTTTTTGGTACTGGGGTTTGAACTCAGGGCCTCACACTTGTGAGGCAGGCACTCTACCACTTGAGCCACTCCTCCAGCCCTATATTATGACCTTTAAAGTACAGCTATTGGGTTTTATGTGATGAAAAAATATCAGTAATACTTGTGTTTTCTTTTTGCACTTAGTGCTTGGCTCTCTGGCTATGAAAATCCTGTGGTATCTCGAATTAATATGAGAATACAAGATCTAACAGGACTAGATGTTTCCACAGCAGAGGAACTACAGGTAGGTGATCATATTATCCTTACATTATTTTTTTACACTTCTTCAAAAGATGTTTCTGGTGAGATTTCCCGACACAGAATAGGCAGTCCCTGACTTGCATGATAGCTTGGGATTGTAAAAAGTGACCCTGTGATCTGAAAATGATTTTAATAGTCAGTTGTAGAAATTGATTATTCTTTGATCTTTAAAGTTTTGTCAAAATATGAAAAACTGCCAGGTGCCAGTGGCTCACACCTGTAATCCTAGCTACTCAGGAGGCAGCGATCAGGAGGATCACAGTTCGAAGCCAGCACATGCAAATAGTCTGAGAGACCCTATCTCGAAAATATCTAACACAAAAAGGGCTAGTGGAATGGCTCAAGGTAGAGGCCCTGAGTTCAAGCCCTAGTACGGCAAAAAAAACAAAACAAAACCAAAAAACCACAAAACATGAAAAACTGGGAAGTATAAATGTACTGCTTTTATTTCTTTGCTGTACTTTCATCTTTGTTGACCAGTTCATCCATTTTGAAACTGCATGGGCTTATCACTGAGAAATGAGATGGCACAACTATCTGCTTTCCTGTCTGTACATGCACTGAATAACAGATGCAGTGACTTGTCACTGATAGCCTTTCAAAGAGATCACCTCTGAGATCACCTCAGTGATTGGTCAAGATGTATAGCTGTTATTTATTTGTGGACTGAAGAACTAGCAGCAAATTTTGTAACTTATGCTATTATAAAAGTATACCATAGCAACTGAAATTTGAACTGTGCTATTGGGAGACTGGTATTACCAGTTAGCTGAACCATAGTATTGAGATTTGTGTACACTGCGCAAAGCATGTCTGCCTGTATTTGTCATTTACTCAGTGGTAAACTACAGCTCCTTTCATATTCATATGATTATTATTAAAAGCTGATTAGTCTTTTTCTCCCCTAATATGTTTTTACTCTAACCTACCTAACCTTCATGTGAATTGACACATTTCTACTTAGTAGACTGATCCAGTGGAATCTACAATAAAAGTAAAATAGCCAGAGAAATTATTCACATATGACTTGCACTATGCCATGGGCAACACTCAGTTATTTTCAAAACAGATTGTATTGAAAGTTAACATACATTGTAACTGAGAAAACTAGAACATGGAGTTAGACCGAATACTTCTTTTTGGGGGTAGACAGGTGGTGCTGGGGTTTTGAACTTGGCTCAAGTCATACAATACCTAACTAGCAAGCATGAGGCCAAGTCCTCAGCCCTTCTTGCTTTATTTTTCAGATAGGGTCTCATTCGTTTGCCTGGGCCAGCCTAGGACCACAATTCTCTTAACTCCTGCACAGCCAGGATTACAGAAGTGTATCACCACACCTGGCTTATTTAAGATTGCAAACTTTTTGCTCCCCCCAGGTGTTTCTCTTATTTCCTTCTCATCCTTACACTGGGGTATTGTCATAACTGAAGCCTTTCCAGAACGAATAGTGTGAACTTTTCTTTTTTTTTTTTTTAACCTTAGAGAAAAAATATGTAAGAAAGAAAGAAAGAAAGAAATATTGGGAGCTTGTCAGCATTTGTTTGGCCTTTTTTTTTGTAGTAATCTTGATAGTTCGTTCATTCATCTGTGCTTTCTTTCTTTCCTTTAGGTAGCAAATTATGGAGTTGGAGGACAATATGAACCCCATTTTGACTTTGCACGGGTAAGTAAAAGAAATGCAGACCCTAACAAGTCCAGGGAAGGTTAGACATTATGTTGTTAAAGACATGCAGACTGTTTTCAACACAGAAATTGCAATAGGCATAGGGACCACTGCAACAGGATTTTAAGCTTATCTTAGTTCCAAATACAGTAAAGAAAAGTGGGAATTTAAAGCCAAGGAGCAGGGGTCAGAGAGGGGCTCAATAAATGGAAAATTACTAAAAGGTAAGGGTGGGTATTCTGACCACAGTCAGGACAAAGATATCTTATAATACCTAGGGGATAGTGAAAGATTAGGAACCTGATTAGATATAAGAGTGATCAGATTCTGAGGATGGGGGATTTATGGTAAAATTAAACAGTACAGAAATGAACACAGAAGTCAGGGTCCAGCTGAGAATATGGTTCAGAGGGGCCAGAATAGTTTCTCAAGAAGAGACTGAAGCAACAGATTTAGACATCCTATGATTTTTAGATAACATAATTATCAGGTACAGAATTTAAAATAACTACATAATACTTTAAAAGACAAAACACAAATAAGCCTTCAAAATGATTTGACATATTTGAAAAATAAGCAAAGGGAACCTCTAGATAGACATTTAAATTTTAATGGATAAATTAAAAAACAAGACTTTTTACTTCCTATAATATATTTGGCTATAAAGTATAGCATTACCAACTCCTAAATTAAGTTTTATCATAATTACCTAGACTTCTAAGGAATGTGCCATGTAATTCCACAAAGTTCTTGATTTATTACCATTATTAAACAAGGGTAGATTGTTTTGAAAGGAACATGATCTGTGTTGTAAAATAGCCCTTTACTGGCTTAATCTCAGAAACCTAGGCTCTTTTCTGTGGAGTTCTGCAAATAAAGTGCTTTTAGTTGCTTCTTTGTATTTTTCAGCTATTGAAAATATGAGGGGAGGGCACTGGTAGCTCATGCCTATAATCTAGCTACTTGGGAGGCACAGTTCAGGAGGATCATGGGTCAAAGCCAGCCCAGGCAGATAGTTCACAAGACCCTATTTCAGAAATACCCAATACAGAAAGACTGGCATTGGCAGAGTGGCTTAAGTGGTAGAGTGTCTCCCTAGCAAGTGTAAGGCCCTGAGCTCAAACCTCAGTACCAAAAAAAAAAAGAAAAAAATGTGAGGATTTTTGGTATGAAAGACTATATAGTTAGAAGCCCTGATAGTACATAAGCTATATTTTTTAGCTTTTTACTTTGAAATAATTATTGATTTGTAGGAAGAAGAAATAAAATGTACAGGAGGTACTGTGCACCCTTTATCAAGCCTCCGCCATTTAACTATAGTACACTGTCAAAAGCAGGAATTTGGCATTATCATATCCATAGAGCTCATTTGTATTTCACAAATATGCAAGTTATACTTGCATTTGTTTCTCTGTGTGTGGCTTTGTGCACTTTTATCACATATGTAGCTTTATGTAATTTCTACCCCAATCAAGATACATCACTACCTGGGCACCTGTGGCTCACATCTGTACTCCTAGCTACTCAGGAAGCAGACATCAGGAGGATCACAGTTTAAAGCCAGCACAGGCAAATAGTTCTTGAGACCCTATTTCAGAAATGCCCAAAATGAAAAAAAAAAGCTGGCGAGTGGATCAAGTAGTACAGTACGTGCCCAGCAATCATGAGGCTCTAAGTTCATCCCCCAGTACTACCACCAAAACAAACAAACAAAAAAGTATCACTGGGAACCAGGTTCCCTTGACTGCTTTCTAACTATGTATTCTTACCCTTCCTCCCATCCCTAACTGCTGGTCAATTCATGAATGTCTCATGTCTCTTGTGATTAATCCAAGTTCATGCATGGATCAGTAGTGAGTTCTTTTCATTGCTGAGTAGTATTCCATGGTATAGATGTGCCACAGTGTAACCATTCATTCACTGATAACATTTGGATAGTTTCCAGTTTTGGGTTATTACAAATGAAGATATGTACAAGTTTCTGTGCAAAAGATTATAATTTTTCTGGGATAAGTGCTGAGATTATATTTTAATTTAAAGTGTTCACTGTTCAAAAGAAAGGCAGTCATAATAGCACTAATATTTGGTGGGTTATGGGTTGAAAGTAAATTTCAGTGTGTTTTTACCCACAATGATCAAGCTTCATGAATGTAGCTAAGAAGCAGCTCTGATGTTTTATGCCTTTAGAAGCTAAACTTTTTTTTTTTAATCTATATTTGGTTGATATTGGCTCTTATTGTTTAGGCTAATCTGGGGTTTATTTTTTCCGTTGATTTATTCAAAAGTATCCAGTGTACAAGTTAAATCAAGTACTTGAGTTGCTAGTATATATAGTACGTTAGATATTATAAGGGCACCTTTTGGGGTTATTTTTGGCATATCCTTCAGCTTAATATTACTGATCTTTAGTTGCCATTGTAGTATTTGCATTACTGAATTTTATTCCATTAATCATGCTGTTTTATTCATAGAAAGATGAGCCAGATGCTTTCAGAGAGCTTGGGACAGGAAATAGAATTGCTACATGGCTATTTTACGTAAGTATTTTACGTATTTTTTTAAGTTAGGATTTGATCACATAACTCATTTATTTTGGTCAGTTAAGTTTGTTGAGCATAGCTCCTATTCAGCATCATAAAGGTTTTATAGCCAAGTAAAGGGAGTTATTAAAGCTTTATATGTAGTTTGTAATATAGATGTTCATTGTAGAAACTTAAAGCTCTGAAGCAAATTCCACCACTTGGAGATAATCATTAATATTTTAGAGTAAAGACCATCTCTTTAGTCATGTATAATATGTATATATAGGAATTCCTATATATACATACACATATCTTTTGAATTAAATTTTTTAATTGAAGCATATTGTATGAAAATATGCACATCATAAGTATATAACGTGGTAGTGTTTTACAGTGTGACCACACCTGGTATTAAGAGACAGCACACTATAGTACCCCACAAGGTCCATCAGCAATAACCACTTCCATATTGTTTGAAGTTTTAAAATAGTATGATTATAACAATATTTGAAGAATTATATTTAGATTTTTTTGTGTGTAATGCTGGGGATTGAACCCAGGGCCACATACATGCTGCATATACACTTTACAACTGAAACAACATGCCCAGTTCAAAAATTAAATTTTGATCATAGTCTTTCTTCCAGTTTTTTATTGCTATATAACAAATTACCCCAAAACTGGGGTTTATTGTTTATTTATTTCAAGTGCTAGGGATCAAACTGAGAACCTTGCATATGCTCTGAATGGTTTTAAAAGTCCTATGCTGTACCGACAAGCTAGCTGGGCATTTACTTTGGTTTTAAATCTCATTTTTATTATTAGCTCTCATAGTGGGGTTGACTGAACTCACCTCATGGTTCTCACTCATGCAGTTGCAGTTAAATGGCACTGGGGTCATCTTTTAGGTTAAGGCTGGCTATCTGCCACCATACCTACAATTCTGGCTGATTGCAAGAGCAAGCATTCCAAAAGGACAATTGCAGACATGCTATTTTTTTATGACCTGCCCTTGAGAAGACATAGGGTAATTGTGCTGTATCCTATTAATCCAAGCTGGTCTTCCTAGCTTCAAGGTAAGGAAGTTTGAGATGAATTTGAGTGTCATGTAAGAAGAATATGCAGGAAAAAATAAAAGAGCATTTAGGGACTGGGTGAATGTCTCAGTGGTAGATCACTTGTATGAAGCTCTGGGTTGGATCCCAAGCACTGTGCTTAAGAAAGGCATGTCAGGATGAAATATATTGGCATGTGTTACAGATGGAAAAAGGCATTCTATAACCTTTCATTTAAAAAGATGTATTTGTATCTAGACTTATTCTTTCCATTTCTTACCCTTTGAATTTTATGAAACTGTCTCAGTCTATGTATTCCTCTCTCCCTGCCTATCTCCTCATCCTCTTTCCATCCCTCCTTATCTCTGTCTCTCCCTTCTTCCCCATTTGCATCCTTTTCACAACTCCACCTTGTTTCCATCTAAGGTACATTACTAAAGCTCATAATATAAAAAAAAAAATTAGAGCTGAATATAAAGGGAAAACCAGGAGAAAAAGAGTACCGTGTATAAATTCATGCTGTTGAAAGCTTGTGTACTTTCTAGAAGTTAGTTCTCCATAGAAATTGTACCAGTTTATCCCACCTTTAAGTATAATGTATTGTCAAACTTTCTAATCTGTACATCTTTCACTTACCAACTTGGCAGTCATGTATTTCAGTTTGCATTTCTCTTGCTAGAAGGGTTGAGCCTCTTGTTTTAGATTTAAGGGCCATAAGTATTTCTTTGTTCCTGTGATTTGTTTCATCCCATATTTCTTTGCTTTGTGAATATTGGTGTGTTACTTGGTCTGTTATTTATATATGTTATTTATTTGACTATTAGATTATATGACTTTCTTCTTACTGTATATACCCTTTCTATGTTTCTAAAAGTTATAAAGCATTTTAATTTTAGTATACATTTCTTCTATTATTTAAAAACTGTTCCCAGATGGGCCACCTGGCATCTAATTAGTTTTCCTATCATGGTAAAGCATTCCTATAACTTTTAAGTATCTCCAAGGTTAATTTTCTCATTAAGAGCTGTTAGCTATTCATTATTAATCATATATTACTGTCAAAATACCTTCAGTTAATTTTTATCTTAAACTATGATATAAACATCATACCTTGTATTCTTTGTCTTTGTAAGTCACTTGTTTTAGATTCAGCAATCTGATACAGCACATAGTTGACTTTTCCTTGATGATGTACCTGAATCTTCCTATACATTCTGCTTATGTTGCTTTTCAAAAAATCTTCACTATAAGATCTGTGCTTCCTTTACCTTATTTTGGTGCATGTGCTTTTTTTCAGTGAATGTACAAAGTTTGTGTTTGTACATTATATAGTTTTATGACTATATAATCTTGCAATCTACTTGTTAATATGTGTTGATTTTCTAGTATATATAAAGGCTAAACAGCAATTTTTTTGGGTTTTGAAAAACTGAGTACTCTGCAAAACCCATGTATGTATATAAGTCTGCAGATTCCCAGTGTTCAATATCAGCTCCTCCTCACAATGGCATGTTTTGCTTTTTTCCACCAACAGTTTTGATAATATCCTCCTGTCTTTTATAGATGAGTGATGTGTCTGCAGGAGGAGCTACTGTTTTTCCTGAAGTAGGAGCTAGTGTTTGGCCCAAAAAAGTAAGCTGGGTTTGTTGGGAGCCAGGTTGGGGGGCCCTGAGGGAGTATTTTTGTCTTTTTCTTTCTCCCCTGCATAAGAGTTGCTCCTGTATTTCATGGTCTAATTTAGTGATTTACATTTTAAAATGTAGTATACTTAGGGACTATGTTATGTCTAGATTGGATTATGTGTGTGCTTTATTTTATATTTTTGAGGGGGGTATAATTTACCTTGAGTGCCTAGCGATAAGGAGCACTCAGGGATTAGTATTTAAAAGTCCTTTTTTCTAAAATTGATTTTCACATGATTTTTTCCCCTCTATTGCTGGATTTATTTGTTTGTTTAGGTAAATACTCTTTGTCAAGCAGCTTTTTAGTATTAACTTTTTCATATGATCAACAAAAGTTAATAAACTTTCAGAATTAAGTTAGAGGAAGAAATAATACTGCTGTAGAGGGAAATACATATTATATAGAAAGTGACTGAAATTTTATCTGGAGGTAATTTTGAATTGTTCTTCATAGGGAACTGCTGTTTTCTGGTATAATCTGTTTGCCAGTGGAGAAGGAGATTATAGCACACGGCATGCAGCCTGTCCAGTACTAGTTGGAAACAAATGGGGTAAATATTTCCTGAATTCTAGGAAAAGAATTTGTGATTTTTATCTCACTTTGAAACCATTATAATCAATACCTTAAAATAAGACCAAAACACCTCCTCCCAAAGATTTTCCTAATATAACTTTTCCTGATCTTAATTTAAATTTGTATTCCTCACATCAGCATTTTGATACAGATTTTTAAATTTTTAAAATGGGGTCTTGCTATGTAGTCCAGGTTGGCCTCTAACTTGCAATCCTCCTGAGTGTTGAGATTATGGCGTGTGCCACTATGCCTAGCTCAGATTTTAATTTCGTTTCCGTTTGTTATTCCAAGAAACACTAATTGACTCAAAGTTGAGTAAGAAATCTTAAACCCCTAAGAGGTCAAAGTCTAATTGAGACTACATACCAATGAATAAATCAAAGTATAGTGCAGTGCATACTAAAAGATGCAGGCAGGAGATGGTGATTCCTTAAGTTTGGGGAGCCTTCTTCAAATTTTAATTTTTGTCCCCTTAGGATAGGACAGTTTTTCAGGCATGTTAGGCACCAGGACTAGTATGAGACTAGAATTAGCACCTACAATGCAAAACTTACCAGAGGGCCATCCAGGTACAGGGTTACCCACATTAACAAAAGAAGTGAGAAAAGAAATAGGTACATTAATTTTAATATATTAACTTCATATATCCATTTCACCAACCGTATTTCAATAGCCACACGTGTCTAGTAGTTAATCAAGATTTAAAATTCTGACCCAGTGCATATTGAAAACCACAGGACTACAGTAAGGAAGAGGCTGGTTTGGGAGAGATCAGTTTTGAAGGCTCTTTTCCATTTCTAAGTGGGCAATGATGAAGCCTGGACTAAAGCAGCAGCCAGAGGATTGGGGAACAAATAGTTGACTCAGGAGACACACAAGGAAAACTGGCAGGGATTTATGAATAAAGACTGGATCCAAGGGTTGGTAAAGGTAAAAGCGCAGTAAGAAATATTTTGTACTTTTAGTGCCATTGATTGGGTTCTACGATTCCAGAGGCCTTTACCTTTTTGGAACCAAGGAAATTTAATGAGCACATAGTATCAGTGATTAATCAGAGTTGCTCCTCTAGAAGGGAGGGGTTTTGTTTGTTTTTTAATATGTCTTGGTGTTTTGGAGGTACTTTGAAAGTGGGTTGAAACGGTATTCTATTCTGTCTGTACCTGCATCTTTACAGATACTTGTCTCATATTTTGAAGACTGATTTCAGGATATGTAGATAGCTTCTCATAGGCATACAAAAAAGTATATGTACACATAAAAAACCTTCTAACATTTAGTCTGATTTTTAAATAGCATCTGTTTTATCTGATTTTGTTCTTGAGTTTTTAATCCATGGTGAAACTTTGTTTTAGAAGGAAAGAAAAGTAAAATACTTTTTTCTCCTACAGTATCCAATAAATGGCTTCATGAACGTGGACAAGAATTTCGAAGACCATGCACCTTGTCAGAATTGGAATGACAAACAAGCTTCCCTTCCTCTCCTGTTGTACTCTAATGTGTCCGACACACACAGTTCCTAGTCTTAACTTTGAAGAGTTTACAATCGACTAACACTCCATAATTGATTGAGTCATGAACCTCATCCCATGTTTCATCTATGGACAATCACTTCATTGGTTTTTTTCTTTTAAAAGTAACACTAAGTCATCACATTGTATAAAACCTTAAAGTTTAGTTGATATCAGGCAGAGGTTAAAAAATGAAGAATTTTAATTTTTCTGGTTGTTGTGGGGATTGAATTTAAGACCTCATGCTTGCTAGGCAAGTGGTCCACTGCTTGAGCTATTCCACCAGCCTAGAGATTTAAAAAAAAAAAACAAAACACCTTTTTGTTGGTTAAAAAATAGACTTCAAGCATCAAATCTTAGTATTTAACTACATCTTAGTAGGTTGTAGACCAGAATGGACTGTGTGATTAGGAAACAGATAACCTCATGTTGGTTTATTTTCTGGATCTGCCTAAACACTAGTAAGAAGTTAGAACTCTAATCTGGGTTCTACGTGATGTTTGACCCTCCAAACATTCTCTTAATTTTTTTTCTCCCAAGTCCTATTAAAGAAGTATATTTTGCCAAGCCCCTTTTCTCATAGCTTCTCTGTGGTGAGTTAAAATACTTCAATTAAAAATACTTTTAACAGAAAGTCCTGCATAGCAGCACTGGATCTTCTTAACTAAAATGCTCATTTAGGTTATTTCTCCTTTTTCTTAAATGACTGATTTTTTTTTTTTTTTTGTCCAGAAGCTTTGTGTGTGTGCGCCAATAACTTCTTATTCCTGCTACAGCAGGGTGGTGATATTGGCCTTCTAATTAAACATTGTGCCTTAGGAGACTGGAAGTTTGATGATGTACAGGTCCTTTCAATGATGAGGGAATTGATTTTTTTAAAAAATGTTTTTCTTAAAAAGCCAAAATGTTTTTTTTTTTTTAATTCTGAAATGTGTGTGACAACAATGACCTATTTATGATCTTAAATCTTTTTTTTTTAAATGTGTCTGTTTTCTGTGTGGTATTTTTCATATTTAAATCTGAATATATGATATAGCAATAACAAGTTAGTTCTAATTTATGTTACTTCTTTAGTACATAAGAGGTTTACAACTCACACTGATAACACATTATGGAAGGGAAATTTAGCCTGTGAAGTTTCAGTCAGTCAAAATATGTTTTCTCAAAAAAATAAAAATGTTTACTTCAGGCTAGGGGTATAGATCAATGGTAGAGCCGTACCCATCATACACATGGCCCTGGGTTTGTTTCCTAGCACCACCACAAAGAAGTGTTTCCTTCATAAAGAGCTCAGCTATGGTTATGGGGTTATTATATTTGTACTTGAGGCTTTCTCCTATTCAAAAATAGGGTACAGTGGTATAAAGCTGTCAGGCTTCAGTATGCTAATTCCATAAGGCTAACTCTTTGGGGAAGATTTTTGGTTAATTCTCTGGGAAAATAAGTATTTTTACCTATATATAAAATGAACTATGAAGTTCTTTCCTCTCAACACTGTTTTATCACATGTTTTAGCAAAAAATACTGAGAATTAAAATCAGCACTTTAATCCACTCATGTTTTGTAACCATAGGTGATTTAAAACAAGAACTTTTTTTAGGCTGGAGGTATAGCTCAGGGGCAGAGCACATGCTTGGCAGGTATGAGCCCCTGGATTCAGTCCCCACTACCAGAAAAACTAGTTAAGATGAAAGCAACAAATTCAAATGTGTATAAATAAATTGGGGGTTCAAGGCTGGAAAATAAGATTTATTCTCAGCCAGGCACCGATGTCTCACTCCTGTAAGTCCCAGGTACTCAGGAGGCAGAGATCAGGAGGTTCGAAGCCAGCCCAGGCAATTTTTCAAGAGACCCTATCTCAAACAAAAAGGGCTGGTTACGTGGCTTAAGGCATAGGTCCTGAGTTCAAACCCCAGTACTGCAAAAAAAAATAAATAAATGAAAATTCTCATGTTTTACAAGTAGATTCTACAAGAAATTATGTTCCACAATCTCGTAAATTTTCTCATTCAATCCAGAATCCCACATGAGGATCTTGTCAGAGTTAGATCTCAGAACCATCCAAGGTGTCATAATTACCAGTGATTTGTCTTTCAGTATGAAAAGGGAGAAAAATCCAATGGTAAGCTGTACTCTAATTGTCATAAAAAAGATTATGCTAACATCTTAAATGAGGACTAGAATTACCCTAGAAAATGGGAAAGCTTAGGTGTCCTCACCAAACCCTTTCCTTCAAGATTGGAAGTTTCACCATTCATTAGATTTAAAAAGCTATTTTCAGTATGAAGCAAACCAAGTATTACCAGGATATCCTACACAGCAGGTGAACAAACGTGATAACCAGGTAATTTACTTGGTGAGCTATAGAAAGAATAAAGTCACTTTGGAATTATTCAGCTAAATGTTACATGCAACAATGAAAGAATCAGCATGTACTTCAGTAAGTATTTAATAAAGTGGTTATTTCAGTGTGAGAAGATATAATAAAGTGTTCAGTTGAGAAGAGTTGTAAGCAGTAAAGTAATATGTAATATAAACTAATTGTGTATGTGTAATTGAAATCTTATTGCTGCTGAGAACATATCTATGTGTTCATTTATGTGTAGTGCACCAAAGCTAACCAGGTGAATGACTGGGAAACTTGCAGTGTAGTGCAAAAATATTCATGATTAAGTCAGTCATGATCAGGAATAGATAAAGATTGCTAGGAGAAAACAGAATAGAAAAGTGGCATTTTAATCTGGGTAGCCAGCAAAACAAGAGCTAGTCTTTCTTGGCAGTACCTGTTTCCACTGTGGTAAAAGCAGGTGTTTTTAAAAAGGAATAATGGGAAACCTAGAAAGGAATGAATCGTCAACACTCTAGAGTATCATGAATTGTCAGATTTACCAGAATAGAATGGATTTATTTTCCTGATGTCCTTGGGCATTATTCCACCACCCTAAGGGTGCCCTGCAAAATTAACTGTAGGTAAACCCTTCAAGCTCTTGCTGCTTGCTTTATTTTTTGTATAAATGTAGCTTTCAGTTACCTTACTATTGTCCTTACTTAAACAATCAAGAGGAGTGGAAACTGGTTTCACCACCAACCCTAAATCTGCCCTTCACCTGCTTTTTGAAGCCTTGTTGAACTCCCTTTGCAGGGGTATTCTGTTGAGATTAATTGTACAGAGCAAGATAATCATAGATTAGGTAAGCTTCAAAAGCAAAATCCTTAACGTTTGCCATTTGGTCTTTCCAGTTTCATAATAGGTTTATTTCTAATATAAATCTGTTTTAGGCTAAGCACCTTAATTCAGAATAAAGCAATTTAGGGCTGCTGGAGTGGCTCAAGTGGTAGAATGCCTGCCTAGCAAGCAAGAGGCCCTCAGTTCAAACCCCAGCACTGCCTCCACCCCCACCCCCAAAAAAAAAAGAAAACCCAAACCCAGAATAAAGCAATTCAAATTTAGAGTGATGCGCACTTTACATTTCTAGGCTTCATGGAGGATTTCCTCAGGTCAGTCTCCTCTTAGAAAAGTCATTTACTTAAATTCCAATTTAAGAATAATTCAGAATTATTACAGTGTCTACCTTAAAGCCATAAGTGTAGCTGATCTCTACAGCATTGTGGGTTTTACATGGGCTTGGATATATGATTTACTTTATTTTTTGGTGGGACTGGGGCTTGACCTTAGGGCTTATGTACTTACAAATGGATATATGATTTAAGTCATATAAGTACGTAATGGTTAACTTCTAACATATTAATCTTAACCTTTGATACTTACATAGTAGTGTTAAATCTTATGATTAAATAACAATAGTTGGGTTTTTTTGTCTTTTTTTTTTTGGCAGTACTGGGGTTTGAACTTAAGGCTTCATCTTGCTAGGCAGGCACGCTTACCACTTGAGCCACTCCGCCAACCCTATTTTGTGTTGGGTATTTTCGAGCTAGGGTCTCACAAACTATTTGTGCTAAGCTGCCTTTGAACCTCAGTCCTCCTGATCTCAGCCTCCCAAGTAACTAGGATTACAGGTGTGAGCCACTGGTGCCCAGCTTTTACTTTACTTTTAAAAGGCTAAAATACTAAGATTCTATGACATTAGATATTACTCATGAAATAGAAAAAAGCAGTTGTCATTAAAATTAATCAGTGCTCTCTCTCCCACATTCCCATTTTTATTTATGTAACAGTGGGTAAAATAGTTTATGAAAAAGTCTACAGAGTGTCAAAGAGCTTATGTCAAAATGAGAATAAACTATGCACCTTAGTTTGAAGAAAGCCATGTGTTATCTCAGTAGAAACCAGCACTTTGAAGTTAACCTTGCTTAATGCCCACTTCCCTCCCTTGAACTGGAGGGAGAAGAGAAGAACTTACTTCCCAGGTTCTACCTTGTCTAGAAATTGCCTGAAGGACTAACATGGGGAAAAGCCTACAGGACTTTAAGCCATCACCCCAGCCAAAGCTCAGAACATACCCTGATAACTAAAGAGCTGTTTTATTTATTTTTTATTTTTTTAAATACCCAATCTTCAGAAAACTACAAGGCATGCAAAGAATGGGGAAGTATGACCCATCTAAAGGGAGAGTGGTAGAAGCCATCTTTGAAGAAACACAGGCTTCAGAGGTACTAGAGAAGACTTTATTTAACAAACACCTATCTGAAAGCTAAAGAAAAGCATGGACAAAACTAAAGGAAGTCATGAAAATGATGAATGAGCAAAATGACACTATCAAAGATATAAAATGAAGCCATACAAATTCTGGAACTAAAATATATAATAGTTGAAAGTTTCACTAAAGGCTTGACATTGTGGTACGTGTCTATAATCCCAGCATTTGGAAGGCTGAGGCAGGAGCTTCGTACACCCTGGAGTACATATACCCTGTTTCCAAAAAAAAAAAACCAGTTTAACAGCACACTAGAATTAAAGTTGGACTGTTACAACACTGGGATGTTACCTGTACTCCCCATGACAAATACAACTGAGAATATTGGGATGGGGGTGTGGGGAGGGAATTCTCTGGCCATTTAAGCAACAGCATTTGAATTACAAGGAAGAGAAAATTAGATTAGCAGGTGTTTACAGCAACACTGTCCCATTCAGAACATGAATATATTTAAGATAGGGAAAGAAAAATACTCTATCTAGTATAACTAAGTATAAATAACACAGATAAGTCTTATCAGTATGCAGGAAGTCAGGCATATTGTTCCTACAATCCTTTCCTAAAGAATCAACTAGAAAATGAGTTGCTGACACCAGCATGGAACTTTTGAAACAGGAATGAAAGACAAAGCAACCTTTCAAATATGTAGGATATACCAGAAGTTACAGGGAAATACGTAACTGGGGGGGGCTTTGGTCGGGGGGTGGGAATAGGGTCTTGTCATATAACCCAGGCTGGTCTCTAACTTGAAAACTTCCCACCTTGGCCTTCTCCTCTGTCCCCAGTGCTGGAATTACAGGCATGTTCCATGAAACCCAGCTAATGTTTACGATTTTTAAATACATTTTTAGTATTATACCAGAGCATTATGTTCAAAAAAGTACACAGAAAAAAAAGTGAGAAATAAACAGTGCTGAGATGAAAGTTCACCACACTGAACACCCATGTTAGAAGTTAGATGTTAAACTAGGTTTCCACCTTACAAGCTTAGAAAACCCATACAACGGAAAGTTATTTAACAATAAAAAGTAAAAGATAAAGTCAGTTGCCAAGATCCTCATGATGTGTGATTCTGTATCTAGAATAGGCAAGTCTACAGAAAAGTAGCAGTTACTGCTTGCCTGGAGAGGTCCCCTGGGGGAATGATAGCCAAGAGGTGTAAAGTTTCTTTTTGGGGTAATGAAAATGTTTTTAAGTTGTAGTTACAACATTCTGCGAATATACTAAAAGCCACTTTAAGTTAGTAAATTACATGGTATGTAAATTAATCTCAATGATTTTTTTTAAA